AAATCAGGAGATTTGATAAGCTGTAAAGATAATGTAATTTACCAGGATACACCCTTAGTTCAATTATAATAACGACCGGAAATTTGACCATAACGTGGAAGTTCAGCAGTACATGTAGCCCGTTACCTTCCTGGAAGAATTCTGATTCTCTACATTGTTTAACTATCTCATTAATTTTTTTACGATTAAAATGAAACAGAAAAGGAGACTATAAATGGATTTAACTCATTTGTTTTCAAAGTGAAAACATATTTCCAAAAAGAGAAACACTGTCCCTGACAGATCTCCTGAATCACTCAATCTAAAGACTCTCACCACTGATACCCTACCCCCAACAAGACAGTTTCTGCCTCTATGGTTGAATGTAATTTTTTTTGGTTGGGAAGGAGGAAGGGTAAAAATGTCCCAAAGACTCTTAAGGTCAAGTACTACAAAATGTTTTATTTACAGTTAAACCTGAAATCAATTAGGTTCTGATCTGAAATGCGATCGGAATGAGCAGAACATTTTATCAGGTCATAAGGCAGGCCAGGACCAGGCAGTGTTTTGTCCTGTTGTACATGAGGTCGCTATGAGTCAGAACCAACTTGACAGCACCCAACAACAACAAAGGCAGCCCAAACATAAGCTCGATTCCAGAACTGCAAGTGGCTGCAGAGGCCTGGTTCACTATTATTTACTCCCCATTGCTAACTGCCACATTGTCTCATGATCTTGTTTCTCCAGTCCCCACAAACGGTTTAAGATTAACTGATGTTCTTCCTTGGAGGGTAGAAAACCAGTGATAATGATCTAAGGATGAAAACCAAACAAAGCACCCATCTTGCAACAAGAAAAACCAGGATGTCACCAGATAACCCCCAAGAATACCAGGAGAAGATTAACTCATCTGAGACATCACCACCTCAAGGGGAAACTAACACCAACTTCTAAGATCCGTAATCCTGTCCCTATAAAAGCGTTCAGCTGATCTCCAGCAGGGGAGATGGGTTCTTTGGAAGATTCTATTCTCCTCTGTCTCCTATGTATCGATATATAATAAACCTCTTGCTGCTCACCTCACCCGTCTCAGAATTGGCTATTGTGGAAGGCAGCTCCCATCCGCGTTACTGCGGTAACAGAACCACTTCACTTGACAAATAGTACAAACTGGCGGTTAAACAATCATTTATAGTGCGTACTCTATGTACATGAACTTCATTACATATTAAACACTACAGTCAAACTTGGAGGTTAAATAACTTTTTAGTAAATTTAAAGTGGACAGAAATGGAATTCAATGGCAAACAAAATCCCTGGAAAGATCATTTGCTTAAATTTGACATAGTATCACCTCACTTGTTGAATTTTGGCAATAAAACTGGTTTTATTTGATTAGCTTAACTCACTTAAAAATGCTTACTGCATTTCAGCAAACAGCATACATTTGTAAATTCCAAAATACTCTTATAAACATTACCTAAAATAATGCACATAAACCCAAACAGATCAGCAATCTGAAAGTATTGTTATCTATACTCATTTACTAAAAATAATTCTTTACACATTATACATTTCAACTTTTCCTTAGTTACTACTTCAGCATATTAATATAAAAACCATGCCAGAGTCAATGTACTTCCAAATGTGGTAATAAATATATCAGAACATACAGGACATGGCATTTCAAAATTTCTAATACAATTCTTAATTTAGGTTGAATTCAGTTATTTCTACCCTTTCTACTTTTAAAGTTAATATATACAGTTAAGACCCCGGGTTCCAAATTTCAGACTGACAACTTGCCCTTTAATGTTATGTAAATTTACCCTCACTTTGAAACAACTGAACCAAGCCCTACTTGCACCTTCACCTGCTGCCCGTGCAGCTTCTAAATCATTGTACTACAAGTAAGGCTAAATAAGAACAGTATGCACCTGTTCCGATCGACCTACAAATTCGACTTAAAGACACAGTTAGGACCTGATCTAGTTTGTAACCTGGGGACTGCCTGTAATGGTTAAACCAACCAGGCGAAATCTCAAACCTAAGGGAAGAAATAGTGGAGATTCAGTCAAGTAAAACTAAGGCAATGAAATTAAATGCATTTTTCATGTTTTCTTTAAAAAAAAGAAAAAAGTTGTCAGCTTTTCAATTGAGAGTATATTTCTAGAGTACTTATTTTATAAATTATTTTTCCTCAGCATTCTACATAAACTTTAGCCTGATAAATACCAACCATTTCTTTAGCGAGGATCTTAAAAAAAAGTGCGTGAAAGCTTTAATAAACTTCTCTTAGTTATAATTATGCATTTAAATAAGCAATTTCAAAATACAAATGTTTAAAGCCACTTTCCAGGCTATTCATTTTAACTGGCTTTTGTAATTTTATAAAATCTATTGTGGTCTCAAAGAATTTTACACACTACATGAGTTCAATAGATACGAGTTAACTGACAATGTGACATTATTTTTGACCACATACGTATATCCTCTCATTATTTCTATTATTAACATCAATAAAGCAGAACTGTTTATATGATATAGTAAGAAACATGGCAACTGAACACCCCCTCCCCACCCTCCAAAAAAGAACAATGCCATCGCTTAAATATTGTTAGGAGTCACAAAAAACTTTTATTTAGGAAAAATATTCCCTTCAATGTTTATTAGATAATGAATCGTATTTAAATGAATAATTTATTTCACTTTTCTGTGTAGACCAATTCAAAAGTATGTCTCTTTCCTTTCATAAGCAAACTGTAATTGTTTCATTCTGCATGGCAGATAAGAATTAATACTTTACTTCCTTCTACCTTAAAAAATGACTGAGATTTTCCTTATTAAGAATTAGTTATTTCTGTATGGACTGCTGTCATGCTGTTAAAAAAAAAAGTTAGTAATGGATATGGACACATGGGAAAAAATAAGCTATAATACTAGTTTATAATGAAATATATTAAACATTGTTTAAATATTAAACAGCAAAATACTCCTTTTATATTAAATAAATAATTGAGGTTTGGATTTGTCATTTTATGGGATATAGGCCAAAAACTACCAATAATGGTGATGGCCTACTGCAAAGGGTGACCACCAAAAAAAAAAAAAACAGGAGGAGGAGGAGGAGAAGAAAACACAACATTTAATACTGGTATTGTTTTCAATAACAAACTTCACCACTGATTCTCAATCCTTCCTGCACGTTAAAGTTACCTGGAGATGTTTCAGAATCTCCAATAATTTAAATCAGAATCTATATGGATAGGATTCAGGCATCAGTATTTTTTTCAAGTTCCCCAAATGATTCTAATGTGCAGGCAGACTTAAGAGCTACTGATTTAAACCTAAAAGCTTCTTACTGTTACCTGACTCAGACTGTCCTATGAATAAAGAAATACAGCTTTTGTTTACAGGTTGAACAAACAAGGGTGTCTCCAGTTAACAGTAACTTATCTGTAAATCAAGGTTATTAATGAGCACTTTATTTCCATTAAAATTTCTGCTGATGCCTCTTTATTCTCTGTAGATCAGTGCTGTCAAACTTCCAAGACGAAGTATAGTCAAACTGCTTCTTTTGTAATAAATCAGTTACAATGAAAATACCTCATTCATTCACGCATATAAATTTTTACTGAATGCCTACTATGTGCAAGGCGCTGCTGTAGGACTTTAATAATAGTGTCATGGGAGAATGAGTAGTGACTGGCTCGAAATTTTTTTTAATATAATTAATGGTTATAAAATTAATTACATGGACCTAAATAAGGGACTGAACTGCCCCCCCCAAAAAAAACATGTATTAAGGGTCTGATTTTAAAATATATGGTATAGCATATTTGTACTTCTCCGACCTAATGTTCCTTATAGTATTTCCAGAAACCTTTGAATATACATAAGGCAAATTCAAAATAGAAAAATAAACTCTGTTCAAATAGATGTCACCAATTTTAACCACATTCTGTATCAAGTAAAATTCATACATAAGTATAAATACTAAAAATCTTTATGGAAAGGTAGTTCATGTCCACTGGTAGTAGTCTTAACAAGTAATCTTACATTAAAATACTAGATTGCTAGTCCTTGACTATGTCATCTTGGAGAAGGTTTATATAATACATAATTATACCTTAAAATTTTGAAAACAGATTTGTAAGCTGAGAAATTCTAATGCGAACAAGTTTGCGTTTTATCTTTGAGAAAGGGGCAGAATCTGTTCAAACTTTGCAAATATAGTAAAATCTGGTCATTTAAAATGCTGACTGTTTTTCTTCTGAAGAGCCTTGTGAATTCCTGATGAATAAATATCTTCTCTATTTACTACTGGCATGGATTTTTGTGGTTACTTGAAAAATAAATAATAAGCACTTCTCATTTCTATGCTAGCATTAAACTTCACAAAGAAACTAGGTAATGTCAGCTTAACACATAAAAAAGTGCTAAATGTTTACAGAACACGTTAACCTAACATAGATCACAGGGGAAAAAAAAAAAATGGAGGAAAAAAAATGACACAAGACTGAATGATAAGCAATGATGCTAAAAGCAAAAACTCTTCAGGGAAGTAAAGGCTCCCAGTTGCCTGTAAGGAACAAAAGGTGAAATCAAGACTCAAGGAAAATGCTCATTTGCTGTACCTTGAATGCAACCCTCTGTCTCTACAATAGAGAAGTAGTAAAATATTTTACTAAGTTAAAATATAGGTTTTATATTTTTATACCATATTAATAAGCACATAAAAATACCAGTGTTTTTATCTTATTTCTGTTCAGACACTTAAGCAAATGTGTTCTTTGGTGCCTGGGAGAGTTTATCAATATTTAAGGATAATGGAAGATAAGAACTCCAAGACTGGACATGCTTAGAAACAGAAGACTAAAAACGCTACACCATATAAAATAAGAATCAAAGATGAACTTATGAGAAAAGGTAAGGAAGTTAATGTTACACTGCAGGAGGGCTGATACATATTCCTTCCCCCAAACCATACTCTGGCTCCCAAAATAAAAAGTACTAGAGCCTATTAGGTTTTTAATCTGTGTTTTGAGATTTTTCAAGTGGAAAGATATCACAGATAGAAATATATCATCCTAAATTTTAAAATCACCAAAGTCAGTGAAAAGAATATACATTCATTAAATGTATTCATTAAAAGTAAAGAAGTATTGGAAAGGCTGAACAGTTCAGCCAAAACTGAATAATTGTTCTTGATTTTTCATTATTCCTTTTTAAATAAAGAGTAAATGTAGATATAGTATACATACAAGTTGACATTTTGATTCATTCAAAGTAGTCACATTCCTTTGTTTAGTTTTGGAAAAAATTCCAGAGACTAAAATTTAATTCCATTCATAACATAGTATTTTCAATAAAAGGAACAACAGAGCAATGAAAAATCAGAAGCAAGATGACTTAGAGAGCCTTATAATCTCTAAATATACACACATTTGTAACCTGTATTTATTTTCTAAAGAAACAAATTTTAAGTAATGCTAATTAAACCAATGGAGAAAAAACATCTATCAAAATATACAATTTCCGTTACAGACTAGAAGGCTAATATTAAAAAAATAGTTGTAAGCCAAAAAGTTTGCTTATAATGGATGACAGGCATCCCTTTGAAGCACAAAGCATCAAATAAGGTCTTATAAAATATCAGTGACCTTCTTCATTTGTAAGTTCTCGATAAATTCATAAAGCTTGAGTCTCAGTCTTTAGATCAAGGTATATCCAGGCTTCTCAATCCAAATTTCCAGAAAAAGGGGAAACCAAGTAATTTAGAATCTCAAGTGGGATTTATGCTTTACCATGTACCTGAAAAATAATAATATTAAAATAGGTTATAATGATTACAGAAATTTTAGAATTTTTAGATTACATGTAAAAAATAAACTGACATTTCTTAAATCTTTAAAATTGCCTGTGCAAGAAAATGTGTTCTCTTAAAAACTAGAAACCTGATACTGTGACCTTTGGAAATCTAAATGCTTTTGAAGTAATCTAGATGAAACATATTCCTCTCATTACATCCTATAATCCAACAGCTCCTGACTAAAATGATAAATGTTTCTCTTTAGCATATTATAACAGTTATAATCATACCGGGTTACTTCAATCTGACTTTGAGGTAACCCATAATATCCAGTGAGAAATTTTAACCAAGAAAGTTTTAAAGAGCTCTTCAAAGAGAGCAACAGATTCAATAGTACCAAGTGTGGTCATACACTGTTCTTAAATTTTCCAATTATAAAACTGTTGTTTTTGTAAAGGGCTTTAAGAACTCTATCTATACAAGTAAATAAATTCAAAAATTCAGTTCCTTTCATGATCTACCCATAACTCAAACAAATCTGGAGTCAAAGACCTATCAGTGGTGGCAAAATATGTAGGGATCATTTAATCCAAGCCTTTCAACAGATAGAAAATTGAGGTTCAGAAAGATCATACAGTTAATGAGAGCCAGATCACAAAATCAAGACTGAAATCTAGGCCTTCTGACTCAGAGTTCACTGTTCTTTCTACCAGGCTATAAATCCTTTCTCCATCTGTTTCTGAAGTCAATATATCAACAGATATTTATTAATTATCTATTATGGATCAGCATCAAATTAGACAATGTAGGAAAAAGGGAATTAGGGAATATGGCTCACAACTTTATGGGATTTAAAATCTAGCTGAGAAGACGGGCAAATTACTACAACAAAACATGTGTAAGTATATTTTAGGAGGAGAATTACCTATCCAATGTTTCCCAGAACCGTAAGAAAACTGGTCTATCCAAATGACGTTTGTGATAGCTGAGTTCTAATACTGTTACATCCCATTTCTGAACATTTGGATCTAGGCGAACTTCATCATACTTGAGATGGAAGGCTTTAACTATATGGGGGAAATAATATTTTTTATTCAAGCTACAATCGAAATTATGACAACATTTTATAGAAGAATAAAAAATTATTCAATACGGACATTAACTAAAAAATAAATTCAATCTTTCTTCCATGAATCAAACCTATATTATAAACAAAGTGGTATTTTAAACAGACACTAGGTACTATAGTATCCTCAAAAACACTTAATTCAATAAATATGTTTAAACATGCCAGCTGCTAGATATTGAAGAACAAAGTAAGATAAAATGCATATAGTCCAGTGAAGGACAAGGATCAGAAAAAGACCACTGAAGCACAATATAATAAGAGCAATGGGGTATCATGGGAACACAGAAGAGTATCTTACCAAGATCATGGAATTCAGAAAAGGTATGCAGAGGCAGTGATATATAAACTGAAACCTGAAAGATCGAGTAAGAATTAAGCAAACACAAAACAAAAGTGATCCAGTTAGCAAGAAAAGCATGCTCAAAGAGAAAATGGTTTATTCTAGAAATTGAAGAAATTTAATGAAACTGCATTATGTTAAATAATCCAAGGAAGGGATAAGACCAGAGAGGTTCAAAGTGATGTTGGCCTTGTAGGCCATATAAAGGAGTAAAGTGTATGGCAGAGAGTAATAATACAGTTTAGAAATCTAGAGGAGGAAGAAATGGATTTCCTCTATTAGGTAGGAGCTATATGAATGGCAATAAAAAGATTCAAGGAATAATTGGGGAGTGAGAACTAACAGGACTTGGTAAGACGTGATGAAGAAGGAAAACAAATTGCAATCAAAGATATATGTAACATTTTGCAGGTAAGTGCCTACTACATATCATGCACTGTTCTAGGCACTGACAATACAGGAGTGACCAAGACAAAGTCTCCACTTGCATGGAGCTTATATTCTAACAGTCAACATACAGTTAAACGGATAAATATAAAATATAATTTCAGATACTATAAATGCTATTGAAGAAACATAAAGTAGGATAAGGATAAAAGATAATACAAAGTGGGTGGTTATTTAGATAAGGAGTCTGAGAGTTTCGAAGAGCTTACCTAGAAGTAAATAGCTAAATGAAATAAAAAGTAGTTTAGTAATGATCTGGAGGAAGAGGATTTCAGGCAGAAGTAACAGCTGATACAAAGGCCCTGAGATGGAAGCAGGCCTGCAGTATTCTACAAACATGTAATTTTTTTGTAGGCAATGGCCTACATGTAGAACCTTCTTGGCTATGGTAAAGAATCTGAATTGTATTCCAAATGTGGTAGTAAGCCACTGGAAAGTTTACAGCAAGAAAGTGAAATCATCCGATTTTCATTTTTAAAAAGATAACTCCAGCTACAGAGCAGATAATAGACTCTAGGGCAAAACTTCCCAGCTGGTGTGTGCTGCAAATAGGTAACAAGTGGACCACAAAATATTGGCTTACAAACTCTCTCTCCTTCCGATCATCCAGTTGAATAATCTCGGTTGGTTTATTATTGTATTTGCAATTAATTTATCATCAGTAGAGCTTTCTGTTTTCACGTACAAGTGTAAAATGCTTAGCTTTCCCTTCAATTTTTCACTTTTTTCCTAAAATATAATATATGGTTGTTACTGTTATCATCATCACCTGATATTAGGGGTTTCAGCAATGGACTTTGTTAATTTTTTTGGTAACTACTGAGTGGATTGCTTGTTTCATACTGCTTGCTGGCTTACTGGTTTTTGATGTTAACAGCTATCATCTAGGTCAAATTTTGATGGAAATTCAAAATGAATACATTTATGTTCCTCCCCCCAAAAAAAACTAGACATTATTTTCTAAATTACTTGCTTTAAGAAATAAATGTCCTTCCATCAGACACAAATTATTCATTTTGAACTTAATAAAAGGCTGTATATCTATGTCCTTATGGCTTCAGAAAACTCATTGTCAAAATACTATTTGAGTAAAAAATTTTTGTGAATTTTAGAAAATTCTGAATTATTGAATTAAATGAAAACAACAAACCAATACTTTCTATTCTGCTTACTACATGTTTCATTTTTCTAATTTTTCAGTAAAATTTACTTTAAATCTTTCTTAAAAATATGCATGACCTACTGCAGTGCAATGGATCGCTTTTGTGTGGCCTTTCTTGCCATGGTCTTGTAACTGCCACCCAAGTGACTGGGTAGGAGTGTGCAAACAGAGTTATTGTGGCCCACTGAAGGGACTGGTCAGGTCTGCCATTCTGTGGGCTTGAAATTAGCCATCCCAGAGGTGGGAAAGAGAAGATCTCACCACCACCAAGGAAAAAGAGCGAAGAATGGAACTCGTCCTTTGGAGCTGGGACCCCTGCGCTGAGAAGCTCCTGGAACCAGCAGAGAGAGAGAGAAAGAGGGCTGTAACACTGAAGTCAGCAAGAAGCTGTGGCAGAGAAACAGTGGCAGGACAGACCAGCAGGAGACAGTACAGTGGGCTTCCCTGCCCACGGAGAGAGAAAGCTGACCTTTGGGCCAAGGCCTACTGGCAGAGTAGGGTGCCTCTGGGCACTTACTGGCAGAGCTAAAAGAGCTTTGTAACACTTGCCTGAGCAGGGTAGAGGTTGAGGGGCCACAGAGAGGTGTACCTGTAGCATAGCTGGGAAGAGGCTGTTCTGATGGAAGAACTGTATTCTGAGTGTTCCTGAACCTGAACTGTAATCTGTTACTTCCCTAATCTCATCACCTTGACTATGGTCTGTGAGTTCTGTGTTGCCACTGCAATGAATTACCAAACTCAGCAGAAAAGCAGAGAATGCCGTGGGAGGGATGGTTGGTGTCAGAATTGGTAAAGATGGTGGAAAAAGGAGGCATGTCTGACCTCTGCCTCATAGGAATCAGCATTGGGCTGCTGATTTTGGTCCTCCATCCCCCTTGTGAAGTTAGAGGTGGTCAGATGCCTCCCCCATGCCATTTTTACACATACATGAAAAAAAAAAAAAATTATCTAAAGCCATAAAGGCCTACATCCACTTTAATTTCAATACGTTTACTTTTTATATTTACTTTTTCACCTAGAATAGACTATTTTCTTAATTAAAGCTGGAATTCCAGAGTCGTAAACACAGCAGTCCAAAAGATTAAGTCACTAATGAGGAAACATAATAAAGTTTCTCTCACTAGACAAAATATTTTATTCATATTAAGAGATGGTGCCAAGTAAACTTATACCAACATATTCAACACTTTATTCAGAAAAAGAAAGTTTTTAAGCCTCTGTAAAAAAAAAAAAAAAAAAAAAAATGAAATAAACTTTTATAAGAAACCAGTTGTACAGTGACACAATAAATGCTAAAGGTAAAACACTTCACTCTACTAAGAATTGATCATTTTTGCAAACTGCGTTAATTTTCTCAATATTTTGTGGGGGAGGGACAAAGAAGTAAAAGAAATAGGAAAAAAAAGACACCCTTTGGTGAGAGAAAAACTGAACAGACAATAGGTAAGTGGTAACTTTGGTGAAGGGTAAGACACTACCCAATACTGGAGAAGCCAGCACAACTTGTACAAGGGAAGGTCATGGAAGCTCCATAGACACATCCAAACTCCCTGAGGGACTGAATTGCTGGGCGGAGGGCTCTGGGGACCATGGTTTCAGGGAACATCTAGCTCAATTGGCATAACACAGTTTATAAAGACAATGTTCTACATTCTACCTTGGTGAGTAGCGTCTGGGGTCTTAAAAACCTGTGAGCAGCCATCTAAGATACTCCACTGGTCTCACCCCTTCAGGAGCAAGGGAGAATGAAGAAAACAAGATATAAAGAAAAGATTAGTCCAAAGGACTAATGGACCACAGCTACCAAGGCCTCCACCAGACTGAGTCCAGTACAGCTACATGGTGCCCAGCTACCACTGACTGCGCGGATGGGGATCCCAACAGAGGATCCTGGACAGAGCTGGAAAAGGATGTAGAACAAAATTCTAACACACACAAAAAGACCAGATTTACCGGCCTGACAGAGACTGGAGAAACCCCCAGAGTATGGCCCTCAGACACACTTTTAGCTCAGAGGTGAAGTAACTCCTGAGGTTCACAGTTCACCTGGGGATTGGACAGCCTCATAAAACAAAACAGGACTAATGAAGCACAGCAGTCCAGGGACAAGGACTAGAAGTCAGCAGGGGACAGGAAAGCTGGTGATAGAGAACCCAAGGTTGAGAAAGGACAGTGTTGACATGTCGTGGGGTTGTTAACCATTGTCACAGGGCAATATGTGTACTTACTGTTTAATGAGAAACTATTTGTTCTGTAAACCTTCATCTAAAGTACAAAAAGAAAAGAATTATCTATGTGAGATCAAATTGACAACAGCAACTCAAAGGTTTGATGGGAAGCCTAGGGGACAGTGAGTTGAAGATAATGGTGATAGAATAATTTGGAAAAGGATAGTGAGAATAGCAGCACAACTGGAAGAATGTAATCGATGATGAATTGTACATGTAGAAATTTTTGAAATAGTGTATCTTTGGCTATGTACATTTTCACACACACACACACACACAAAAAAAAGCCCTCCAAGGTCGAGAAGGGAGTGTTGACATGTCGTGGGGTTGTTAACAAATGTCATAAAACAATACGTGTACTAACTAATGAGAAACTATTTGTTCTGTAAACCTTCATCTAAAGTACAATAAAAAAAATAAAAAAAATAAAAAAAATAAAAGGCAACCTTCGTACTAATATTTAGTAGATACACTGTGGCAGGTAAGATGACAAAGCGACAAAACAATTCAGAAGATGATTATATAAAAAGTTTTTCTCAGGGGTAACCAGCAAGAATGTGAAGAAATCATTAATACTTATAAAAAAGTTATAGCCATAGTTACAAGCTCTAACTTCTCATTAAAATTTTTAAAAGATTTTCTTTGGCAATTTCATGCAATTTGATATTTAATATCTCTAATACTTTGTACTTTGTCATCACAATTATGAAACATAAAGAAAATACACACGTGCTCCTCACTTATCGACATGATTAGGTTCCAAAGACCAAGTCGTTGTGTGAAATCAGCATTATGCGAAAATGGAGGATGACCACATCAGATCACAAAAATGAAGGATGACGACATCACTACGTAACTGCCAAAATATATTAGTATATAACTGTCAAACCACTGAGAACCACGGCTCAACTAGGGTGACACAAAACCTTAACTATCACATCCAGCGTTACTCTCACCTTGCACCTCAGCATTCGTTACTGTCAGACATACATCATTAATATGCAAAATAGTCAGATAGGAGATTTTTTATTATTGTTGTAAATGTAAAATGTTAGGTAACTAGATAGTTGATAAGTGAAGAGAAGGTGTACTTTTTTTTTAAACCAAGGTCCATACAGACGCCTTCAGTTTTTCAGGTCTTCCTATTATGCTACTATATAGATATTATCATTTCCCATTTGTGTTATGGGAAAAATGATGGGAAGCTACAAGAGGCAAGGGTAAAAGCAGGGAGACCAACTAAAAGCTAAGAGATGATACACTCCTAAGTTTTCTGCTTAAAGCAATTTACTTAAAGAGCTAATTAAGGAAGAAAAAAAAAGTTTGGAGATGGAGGGAAGAATAAGACAACTCCATTCAGAGCAGGTTGAGTTTGATGTACCAATGGGAAATCACAGAGGAGCTACTTAGTAGTCAATGAGATATGTAGTTCCAGAGTACTAACGAAAAGACATAACTTTCAGAATAACAGCATACAGATGGCAATTGAAAGCTATAAAATTTTCTTGAGAGGATATTCAGAATTAAGGGAGAAAAGAAACGGCAACATAAACATGTAGCTGATAGCCAGAGGAAAAGGAGCAAAGGATTCTGAGATACAGTGTCACAAGCCCTGGGGAAAGAACATTTTTAAAAGGAGGAAATGGGTCAACAGTATTTAATTCTGATAAGAGATCACAAGTACCCAACAGTCAGGTCACTGGTGACTTCGATGTAAAGAGTTTTGGTGAAAAGCAAGAGCTGACTACAGTGTACTGAGGATTAAACAGAAAGTGAGTTAGTGGAGACAATTCTTTCAAAAGATTAGCTATAAAACAAAAAAGAAGGACAGGAAAAGGTGAGGTCAGGGGAAAGGGTTTTATTTTGTTTAAGATGAAACAAACAAGGGTACTTTCAAATGCCAAATGAAAAGGAGCCAGCAAAGAAGGAAAACTGAAGAGAAAGAGACTAACTCATGGAAGAAAATAATTGATAACTGGAAAAATGCTAAAAACAATAAAATCCTCTAAGTTTTGATCTAAACTTTGGAAGAGGAACAATCTGAACTAAAGCAAAAATTAAAATAGCATTATATTCTTAACAAAATCTAGAAAGCATTTACACATCTTCAAGAAATTCTAATCATTTTTGTTTCAAAACTACTGAACAAGGCAAGCAAGTAGGTAAAACACAACATTCTCATTCATCAACATTGTACTTTCATTAAAATTTACTTCTCTGAAGTAAACATCATAGCCTATATCTTTAACTTTCTATTTACTCTTTATTCATTAATTGAGTTTCAGAAACAACATAAAAAGCTATCCTAGTGTCACAACTATCAGAATTTATGTTTTTAAACAAATGAAGATACAAAGAGCAAATGATTAAAATTTTCAAGCTTGGGAACAGTTTCTCGCCTGGGAGAATGGTGGTACCACTAACAAAAAATGGGGTTGCTAAACAAAAAAAAAAAAAAAAAAAAAAAGAGGATGATTTCACAGTGGCACAACCAATATTCATAATTCCTTAAGTTGTCATTTCTAATAAACATATTTGTTTCATAAGTTTGTTTTTTGTTTTAATTAATGTTACTAATTTGAATACTCTAATAATTGGAATATCTCTTTCAGCAAATAAACAGGATAAATTTATCCACTTTTGTTATATCAATTTATACCAATGTATGTTCAATAAAAGATGCAAGCCACAATAAAGCATTCATTCAACAGATATTTACTGAGTGCCTCCTCTATGCCAGGCAATCTTCTGTGCTGAAGATACAATGATGAACAAGGCACATAAGGCTTCTCCCATTAAGGTACTTGGATTTTTGCCAGAGAAGACTTACAATAAGGATATAAAAATAGGATAATGTCAAGGAACAATAAGTAGCGACCAAGAAAATAAAACAGGCTTAGCAAGTAACTTGGAAGAGGTGATGATTATTTCAAACAGAATGGTCAGAAAAGGATTCTTTAAAGAGAGAACACATAAGTTGAAACATGAATGAAAAGAAAAAAGCCAATCATGCCACAATCATTTCAGACAATAAGAATAGCTGGTAAATGCCTTCTGATACTTTAAGGCTACACACTACTTTTCAGCAAAAGTCAACCTATTTCAAAACAGGCCTTACTGTTAAAAAAAAATACACGGACATGCAACAAAATTAATGATTTTTAAGTTCCATGAAAATTAATTTTGAGGCATAGGCAACATTCACTTTAAGATATAAGCACAAAGAAAATACTAATGTACAAAAATGTTTTTAAAAATACTTGGCAGGTTGTTTAAAAATTAACAATATATATGCTACTTAACAGCAATCCTTTTGATATACATGTTGTAGATACAAAGCTGAAACTTCCAATAACATTTTTTTCCTAGTTGCAAAATTGTAGTTTTTAAAACACAATGTTCAATGAACTTATTAAAGGGAATTTTTAAAAGTCAGTATAAGCAATTAATCTTAGATTACAGATATTTATTATTTTATTTAATAGTAACAAGCTTCTCATTTTATTAAGTTTGATCCTTAATAAGTAGATACAGCTTTCCTAACTACTAGTGTGAAAACCAGTTATGTTACTGCAATGTTGAGCTTCTATATTTACTAATGTTGTCTTGTAATTATTCTTAAATATTCTTTAGTATATGTTATACAGTGTATTTTAAGAGAAAATCTAAAATATAATAACAATTTCAAGGACCAAACAAGAATTAATCAGCAATAACTACCAGAATTACTGTTTTCGTTGTTCCTCCTACCCCCTAAATATTCTAGGAAATTATGCAATTAATAGATGTATGCAAAAAAAAGTGAGACCTATTAGACTCTTTCTCTTAAATAAAGTGAGAGCATTTCTATAGTGGACAAGTAATAAATATAAAGAGAATCTTACTTTTAGCAAATATGTCAACTGGTGATCCATCAGGCAAAAGCCAAGGCCAGCCTTTGAACTGCCAGGCAGGACCCTGTACAAAAACTGCTACAACTCGGTCCCTATAAATAAAAATGTGGGGGGGAGGAAAATGCCTTAAATTTGAACTTTAGTTACTATAAATCCCTAAGGAAAGAGTCATAATTATTTCTTGCCAATATTACTGTGAGGCACACATACTCCATTAGCATAACATTTCATTATAATGTTACCATTTGAGCACATTAATGATCCCTATATTCCTCCAGCATCTGTTTTTTTGCACCTAAGTCTTTTACACATAATCACATGCACAATTCTTTATATGTGATCTTTTTAGCCTTTTATCTCTGCCCTTCTATTAATTAGAGTAAGAACCCTCTTTACAATGCAACAGGGTAGAGCAGTAGATCTACTAATCCAAAAGGTTGGTTTTAAAAGGAAATCATTTAAAATTCAAGCACATCTTAAATATTTTACTTTAATTAAAAACAATAAATTACAGTAACTCACCAACCATTTTATAAAGCCTCAAGGCCTTATCTTTGAGTTCCTCTGACTGTCTGGGAAGTTAACTAAGTACAGAAACCATCCGGATTTTTATGATTTTCTAATTGTTTTACAACTATCTCACTCGCCTTAAATTCCACAGTAAGTTTTTTTTTAAGCAATTTGTTCTTCCAACCATTCAACTTAGATTTTCTAGAAAGAAATCTGTCTAGCCCTCATAGTTTATTCCACAATACGCAATTAAATTGAGAAATTATAATAAGTAGAACTGCCAAAAAAAGTTTAAGCCTACAACTATTCAAAATATAAATTTATTTAGGTATTGCTAGAATGTTATCTTTATTGATGACCAAATCAGATCTACAGACATTAACAGAAGTTTCAAGGATAGGTTTCATTTAGATACCAAGATAAAATGTGATACTCAGTCACATAATAAAAAATATTTACACACAGAAAAATGAGTATTAAAAAATACAGATTTTCTTACCAGTCTTGAGGCATAAGTTTAAGGGGCTGGTCTACCACTCTATAAGGAACTGTCACACTAATTGCAGTGCCCCCTGGTTGCATCTGGTCTTTTCTTCTCTGTATTAAAGTTTCATTTTCCCGTTGGCAGCCTTGTTTCTTTTTTTCATCTGATGGGACAAATCTTTGAAAAAACAGAGGTAAGAAAAAGCCAAATATATACAAATATGGAGAAACTGAGAAAATAAATTATATTTTGAAATAATTTTTAAAATAGTGATAGTCTTAACCAATACATATATGTGTGTGTGTGTGTGTATATATATATATATATATATATATATATATATATGGTCTACATGAAGAACGCGGCATCAGGATTGGAGGAAGACTCATTCACAACCTGCGATATGCAGATGACAAAACCTTGCTTGCTAAAAGCAAAGAGGACTTGAAGCACTTACTAAGAAGGATCAACGACTGCAGCCTTCAGTATGGATTATACCTTAACATAAAGAAAACAAAACTCCTCACAACTGGACCAATAAGCAACATCCTGATGAACGGAGAAAAGACTGAAGTTGTCAAGGATTTCATTTTACTTAGACTTGTTATCAGGAGGTGATCAGTCTCTGGAGAAGGATATCATGCTTGGTAGAGGGTCAATGAGAAGGAGGAAGACCCTCAACAAGATGGACTGACACAGTGGCTGCAACAATGGGCTCAAAGATAGCAACAACTGTGACAACGGCAAAGGACCTGGCAGTGTTTTGTTTTGTTGTACATGGGGTTGCTATGACTCAGAACCAACTCGACGGCACCTGAGGACAACTACACATACACACCAAAAACCAAACCCACTGCTGTAGAGTCGATTCCGCCTCATGTCAACCCCATAAGACGGAGTAGCACTGCCCCACAGGGTTTCCAAGGAGCGACTGGTGAATCTGAACTGCCAACCTTTTGGTTAGCAGTGGTAGATCTTAACCACTGTGCCACCAGGGCTATATATATGTATGCATACTGTGTGTGTATATATACATATATTTTAAATAAACTTTGTATGTACAGATCACATTGCTTCAGAGTATGAGTCTTTCCTTTGAATGCCAAATAAAACTTAAGCTGACTATGGCTATAAATTGGCATGTGTGTGTGTATGTGCCTGTCATAGACACACATTTATGTTCATTTGAGTATATACACACATTATATTCATCTAACCAGCACTTGGCATTATCCAAGGTTACATTAAGAGACCACACTAATCCTTGATTTCTCAAATACTATTAGAGGAAAACTTCGTAATGGGAAACTTTATTATAAATCAAAATGTCACCTGAAATGAAAGTGCTGTTGCAGCTACCTAGGCCTCTCCACTAGGGGACTAGCCTATCCAGGAGCTTCACAAAACATGCCTTTTCACACTTATGCTTCAGCAAAATCAGCAAAAGTCCAACAATCTTCAAGGTTGTTTTATAAATTTTAAAGTAAGGGAAATTAAATTAAATCACTGTGTGCCAAGGGTGTATTTTATAGTAAATACTGCAAGTAATTTAGTAAACTACCAACTTTACTTATGTGGTTAAACTCTCTACTGTACCCCCAACAGATACTCTCTAAAATAATTTAGCAACCTGGAGAGCTGTTGCCAGAGTCAGAATTTTTCAGTGTTCACAGAACATTTTAAAGCAGTCTATTTTCTAAACATACACACTGTAGTAGCATACTTTATTAGCTATGGCTTATCAAATGAGGCAGTACAATCACTGCATTGAGTGCCATTCTGCTTCCAGAGTTCTGGAGAGATAAAAGGGTGAAAGAGCAAAGAGGATGCATAAAACCAGTGAGAGCTTTCACTTGGTAGAGTCCCTGTGAAAAATTCAATACCATATATTGTACTCATCATACAGTAATACTCATTTTACTACATGGTAATAAGTCTAACACTGAACTTTGCTTTTGACCTGATTGTTTTCACATCCGCTTCCAATCTGATGGAAATGTTAAGATTTCCATATCATTTTAAAATATCCCCCATATTCCCTATGGATTCTGATTATTTTATTTAGTAATCAGATTCACTTAGAAAATGTCAAATATATATATTGATACTGATACTAAAAAATATGTATTTTTAAAAAATTTAATATATATTAATTGTTGGAAATTGAGTTCTAGTACAAAGCCATAACTAACAAAAATGTATTAAGTTAACAGCATGCACAACACTACACTGTGGTACACATAAGTTACACAATATACTCAATATAGGTCGCTATGAGTTGGAATCAACTCGATGGCAATGGGTTTGGTTTATAAGTTACAGTTCCTGCCCTGTGGAAGCTTATGTTCCACAACAAAGGGATCTTACCTCCTAGACAAATATGCTTTGCTTTATTTCAATCAGACTGTATCTAATGGGAGCCCTGGTGGTACAGTGGTTAAGAGCTATGGCTGCTAACCAGAAGGGCAGCAGTTCAAATCTATCAGCCGCTCCTTGGAAACCCTGTGGGGCAGTTCTACTCTGGCCTAGAGGGTCTCAATGAGTCGGAATTGACTTGACGGCAACAGATGGTAGAGTAGGGTATATCTAAATGGTGTTAAATTTGTTTAATTTCTTAAAAATAATATTCATCTCCCTCTTGTGTGGCTTTTCAAATTTTAATATGGTATAAAAGTACAAAATCATTTATAAACTTCAGTACTAAGTTATAATATACATACAAATGATTATCTACCACAATACCCAACTTAAGAAGAAGTCTATTCAAAACCTAATTCAACTCCTAGTATATAAAGAAATGAGTTACATAGCCTTTTTGCATGTTTACACATTTGTTGATAGTTTTATTAAAGTTCACAAGCACTAACATGATTCTTTAAGTAAGCACTGTCCCAGAATTTTTACATGCTCCAGTATCTTAATTTCCAAATATTCCTAAGTATTTCCTTAGAAGAGTACCCTTTCTCCATTAGCAGTAAAAAGCCGCTTTATTTTAGAATGCTTTTCAGCCTTAATTTCACTTGATTACATAAAGATAAATCTTACAACCTATTCTCCTAAACTTAAGTCTACTAACGAAAGACTACCGCTATTTCTATGAAAATGACACGCACCTTCTGCGTCTGTTTGCCAACCACGACCCCCTCCCCAGAGAGGTATTACTGTAAACACACTATGCTAATTTTTGTACAGCAACATGTAAAAATAAATCGTCATAGCGCACCTCACAGGGGAGGGTGTGGTTAGCAAACAAACGTAGAAGGCGCACATCATTTGCATAAAAATACAGTAGTGCTCCACTTCTAGTCCACATGGATTTTAGCCATTCGCCATACTGTATTTCATCAAATCTAAGACACCATCAACTGTGAGATGCATCATTTTTTTGTACCACTATGAAAGGAAAAAAAAACTGTCAAATTACGACAATGCCTTGATGATATTCTACATAAATCAGAGTTATCATTCTTTTGAAGGGACTGGCCATTTCATTTTTCCTGGCTTCAACTTCACTGTCTGACATGTGTGACAGGCAATCCTTTTGTATGTATCTCAGGAACAAAAAGCAGCACAGCTTTAACTACTGGTATCTTCCTTCTCAGGTCCCATAAAGCACTTGGTTGTTGCTTTACAAGAAAACAGAATGAGGTCATTCCTCCAACAAGGATTTGTGCTTCATAAATATCAAAGTTACGCCAATTGTTCTATTTCAAGTGTTTTTCTGCATATACAACATTTTTATTGACATAAAATCTAGTCAAAATACATAAACAGATTTTTGATAAATGTATTCCCAGTGTATGCACCACTCCAATCAAGACACAGAAATCTACATTGCCCCAGTAAACTTCCTTGTGCCCTTTCAGTCAATCCTTAACCCCTCTCCCTCAACAGGCAACCACTGTGCTGCTTTTCATTACCATAGATTAGTAATGTCTGCTCTAAGACTTCATATAAATGGAATTACCATATTTTTACACAAATAATGCACACCTTCGACATTTGTTTGCAAACTGCGCCCTCCCTATTTTTGTAAGCACAGCTATGCCAATTTTTTTTTAAATGTTGCTGTAAAAAAAATTAGCACAGCGTGCTTATGAAAATACCTGGGGCATTGGGAGCACAGCTGGCAAACAAACACGGAAGGTGTGTATTATTTGCGTAAAAATATGGTACTCTTTTTTATGCTTGGCTTCTTTCATTCAGTTTAATGTTTCTGATACCCATCCATATTGTGAGGTATACTGGTAGTTTATTCTTTTTTATTAATGGGTAGAACTACATTGTATGAACATATCACAATTGGTTTATCCACTTTCCTGCTGATGGACATTTGGGAGGTTCCAAATATGGGGCTATTACAAATAAAGCCGCTATGAATATTCTTGCGTAAGTGTTTTTGTGGACATGTTTTCACTTCTCTTAGGTAAATACCTACAAGTGGAACTACTGGAACATAGGATACGTTTGACATTATAAGAAACTGCCAAACAGTTTTCCAAAGTAGACACACCATTTCATACTCCCACCAACAAAGTACTGGAGTCCCTGGGCCTGGGCGGCGCAAACGGTTAAGTACTCGACTACTAGTCGAAAGGCTAGCAGTTGGAAGACAAACTTGGTGATCTGCTTCTGAGAGGTCGCAGCCTTGAAAACTCTACAGAGCACAGTTCTACTCTGACATGAGTTGGAATCTCATCATCACATTGTCATGAATTGGAAGAGACTTGATGGCAACTAACAACAAAAACGTGTGAGAGTTCTAGTCTTTTTAATTTAGTCTTTTCTAATGAATGTGAAGTGGTATCTCATTGTTATTTTAATTTTTCATTTCCCTGATGACTAATGATACCAATAATGAATATCTTTTCCCGTGCTTATTAGCTATTTGTATACCTTCTTTAGCAAAATGTCTGTTTAAGACTTTTGCCCATTTTTTATTGACTTGTCCTTTTAATATTGATATGTAGGACTTCTTTCCATATTCTGGATACAAATCTTTCATTAGAAATATGTGATAAGAATATTTTCTCTCAGTCTGTGGCTGGCCTTTTCATTTTCTTAACAGTATCTTCTAATGAGCAGAAAACTTAAATTTTAATGAAGTCCGATTAATCTTTTTTTATTTTTTTTTGCTTTAATGGTTCGTCCTGAAATATCTTTGTCTATCCTAAAAT